TTTCCATAGAGCTAATTCGCCGAAGCTCTAACAAAGAAAAACTGAGGAAGAATACTTAAAGTTCTAATGTTCTAAACTCACTGGTGGATCCAAGGGAGGGGGCAACGGGTCTTTCGTCCTTCGCTCCCCTCTCCCCTCCCGGGAGCTCAGGTCGTAGCTGTTTTACCGTAGAAAACTCTGTTCGATATCGCCCGTTGCCCCCCCACCCCCTCGCCTCCCCAGTCAACGCCGTCGTTTAGGGCCCAGGTAAAATACGGAACAAGTTGCTGCAGACATAAACATACACACCACATACACACATACACACAAACACACACATACACACACACACACAGAAACACACACACATATACACACTCGTACCTGCATACACATACACACTCATACAGACACATACAGACAACCCCATAACAATATGCGTTTTTTACTGCTGCTAAACAACAAAAAAAGCGCATGAAAAAACTAGGTACCTTCTGTTAGACCAACAGTTCCCAATGGCGGATGACTAAACACAACACTTGGGATATTTTCATAGTCCAAATGATTTTCTGGCTCATTATTGAACAATCGATGAGCTAAGCGTCGGCCAGCGGCAATCGCAACTGAAAAAAAAACAATTCCAATAAAAAAACACTGGTTCATAAAATATATCTAGAACGGAGAACGAATTCATTATAACATATGGAACGAATTTCTTACCATTATAATTTCTTACCACGAATTTCTTACCATTTTACAAAATTTTACAATTTTTGCTAATTTCTTAATATTATTTGCTTTGCCTCCTTCCAACATTTACATATTTTTTTTTTTATTTTAAAGCCTGTTTTCGCAACATGAGTTGCAATTGGTACTGCTAAATAAGTCAATCAATTTAAAGTAATGCGTACTAAAACGGCCCCAGTGAGGCCGTTAAATCGTTTTGTTTGGAGTTACGTAGTTAAAGTTCAGCGCCGCAAAAAATCAAGTGTTGCCGGTCGGTCGCATCGATTTTGGCGAAAAATTACAAAGACGATCTCTAAAATTATCGCTCAATGATAAGACAGAGATGTACAACGATTACATACAAAGACACAAGAAAAATGACCTGGCGTAAGTAATGCTTTGCCGCAGCAATCTCCAAGTGCATATATATTTTTTGCCGATGTATTTTGATATTTATCCACAATAATACGGCCATCTTTGTCGGTTTTTACACCCTGAATTCTTTCAGTTTCATAGGAAAAAAATGCTAAAAAATAATCAGCTCTCGCAGTAGTACAGAACTATAAAAAAAAAGGCTCGCCAGACTAGCTCGTTCAATTGTGGTAATGGTAAGAAATGTATACGATTTGATGGACCGAAATATTTCTTGCCGCTAAAATAATTTTATTAATTTACAAATTTTGTAATTCTCATCTCTTACCTTCCCCCTCTCTGTTCATCTTTTTTCATTCGTTTTTAATATATCTTCTTACTGAAATCATCCGACGCCAGGAAGCCGTAGTTATTAACATCATAGCAATCTATCACACCAATTACAAACGGGGCATATATGATCCAAAGACAAACAAATTCAGCACCGCATAACAATCTAACATTTCGAGGGATTTCGACCGGAAAAGGAAACAAAATAAATAGCAACGCGCACCAGACTAGCCGGTGCGATCGTGCGTTTTGTGCAATTCAGCCCATCGAACGACTGCCTATTAATGATTTTCACTGCTTTGTACTTTATGCAAAAATAGTTCAAACATTGGAAAACAGTTAAAAATTTCACGCACCAGCGCATGAACGCTAAATTCGAAACCTTGAAGGGTGAATATCTTTCCATGACTCCCAAGTTAGTTTACCTGCCAAAATTTTCACGACGCCATAGGCGATACTCAAGAGCGCGGGAACGCTGAATTTGAATAGGCAAGGTTAAGCGTCGGCAGCGGGTCATTACCCTAAAATTCCAGCTTCCTAAACCCCGTGGTTCCCGAGATACTAATTTACCCGTAAAAAACTTTCACGGGGCCGTACGTGTTACCCGCAGGTACGGAAAAGCTGAATTTAAATTTGCCGCGTCATCCGCTGGCGGGGAAAACTATACCGAAATTTCAGCAGCCTAGCTTTTGTGGTTCCCAAGTTGAAAGTGTGGGACAAAATGTGGGACACACACCCTGAGACAACCTCGTGACAATATGAGTTTTGTAATGCTGTTACACAGCACAAAACGCATAAAAAACAAAAACGAACCACATAATTAACGTTTAAACTCCGCGTTTGTGGCAAACGGCCAATTGCCCATATTAGGGTTTCCACTTCATCAATAACACCGTTTGTTATGTTTACTGTGAGTAAACCATCCGGTCTCCTTTCCACTGATTTTACCTAAGAAAAAAGAAAAAAACATAACAACTCCCAAAAGTTTTTTGAATTCGACTTTTGGTTTCAACTGAAAGCATAACTAAAGGTCTTTATTTTCATAAAACTTGATATTGCTTTATTTGAATTCTTCTTTTTTGACGAACCGAAAAATCGTATCCTGACTGTTTCTAGACAAAACTATGAATACAGATGTAATAAAACAATAAAAATATTTTAATGCTGAAACAAGAAAAAATTAATAAAACTTGAAATGTACTGAAAACATTTTGTAATGGTAAGAAATGTTTCAGTCTATTAAGTGGCATAACAAAATGTGACATATCTTGGTATTCCTCATTAAATTACGGGATGACTACAAGGCAAAGTGTAAACCAAGATCATCACAAGCAATATCCGAAAATATTTTACAATCAAAAAAAAATCTCTCTCCGAAAATACTTTAGGAATAATGGAGAAACAGAGAATTAAAGTAACGCTGCCACGTGAAAATGAAAGATTGAATTTCAACAAGAGGCAATTAGCCAGAAGAACCGGTTGGGGGCGGGCCCGAATAACAAGTCAGGCGGAGGAAAGGGAGGGGGTCGGCTCCGGGAGGAAAAGCCAGAATCTCAAAAGGGAACAGATCAAAGCTGCTAAAATTGGCAAAATACTTTATAATAAAATTTTATTAATATATTTTACAAGATTTCATAACTTTTACTAATTTCTTAATAATATATATTTGCTTTTGTCTTCTTCCAACTTCAAAATATTTTCTCATTTACATAGAGACGATTTGCTTGCAACACACAGAACAAGGAGGAAAATTTTCCCCTTTCCTGTGAATATGCGTGCGTCGGTGGCAATTTTCACGTGTAAAGGCGAACTTGTTGCCTTGCCTCCCTTCCCCCTACCCCAAATAAGAAAAAGCAAAAAAAAAAAAATATAAAATAAAACGTAGAGTCATCTTTCGATGACATCCCAGCGGGACGTCGGGGATCGACGTTCCCACCGGAGATCGGATCTCCGACAGAAATCCGATTCCCTCCTTCCCAGACCACCTATTCTCCAACCGTAGATGAAACCTACGATAGCAAAATCCCTTCCCTGATTCCCACACAGATCACTCTTAAACCCCGATGTCTGCGATTGTGAATCATGATATTGCTTGCAGGAAGAGCAGTATATAAGCTTAAGGATCCGACGTCCGTGTTCGCGTTCACCTGCAATCTCCAGTGTCGACTGACACTCTTCGCTTTGTCCCCGTATCAACAGACGTCTGTGATCTACTTATTCCTCATCTTACTCTCGCGCCTGTAATTATCGCATGCAATAAATTTCGTCCTGTTTTGGCTCGACACCTTCCAGGGATCTTTCGATCCCATACGCGGCACCTAGATTAAAATAAACTCTTTTTTAAAATAAACCCCTTTTTTGCCTGCAAAATACCCCGAGGCCATATTGGCCGAAACAATAACGAAAGGATGGTCAGCTGCTCTAATAGTGAGATTCGCGAATAACTAAAATAAACCGAGAAATGCTTACCTGGGTATTTTTATGCAGTTTCGTTGGGCCTTTCTCAATTGCTTCAGTCAA